AAAGAGCTTCTGTTATCTATTAGTGAAACATATTTACAATAATTCAAAATAAACTGAAACATTTGTTTTTGTTTATATCGGCAACAGATTGTTATCCCCAAAAAGTTGGAGAAAACGAAGAGAAAAAAGTGCTTTTAAATGGTTACTTGTTGCTTTATTTGTCGCTGGTTTTAGGTTATGGTGCAACACATTAAACTTTACGTTTCTGAGCGTGAGGTCTGTGCATTAAAGTAAATCAGCTGAAAAAGCAGCTGCGAAGGTTGAGCCGAGGCGATAAGGAGATAATCCCGCCGAGGGTTTTACCTGCAACTTGTTGCTCGCAAAGACTAAGCAGATGATAAACTATTTCTTTGTTTCACAGTGAAGATAATTACTTTTGTTTAAGGCTGATGACGAAGAGCTTAACTCTAATATGTTACAAAAAATAATCAGCTGATCTGTACACTGAAGCACAAAAGTATGCATACCTCTGAATTTAGATTATTCAATCGAAATGTTTCAGTTAGATACACAATTAGTATCTATATAATCTATATAATCTGTTTCTAATTACATTCAATTTTAAAAATGACAATAAATCAAGGGCAGTCAAACTATTTAGATTCAAGACAGACCACAAAAACTAATAACTAAAAAACTAAAAAATGTAATCACAATATAAGGATTTTATATCAGTTAACAGAAGTACTGAAACGGTTACTCTGATCATTTGTGATTAATCGACTGAAAGACTAATAATCGACTTGTTTAGTAATTGATTACTCACCAACAGCATTCTGACTCAAAAAAAGACAATTTGCTAAAAGAACAACAAACTCAGAGCAGTAATTAAGATAAAACTGTACAAACATTATATACATTAAGATGAAAACATTCATCTGCAAAGGTAATGTTCTACCTAAATATGAACCTTTTCTACTCAATTATTAATTAGTTAATTGAGAAATAATCAACAGATCAGCACCATCTTGTCACATTTCTGCATTTTAGGAAATAAAATGTTTGTTTTCTTATTCAAAAAACAAACTGAATTATTTTTATGTATTTCTAATATTGTATAAAAAAATAAGCTTAAATGGTTAAATGAATTGCAGCCACACAGCCATTTTTTAAATTCAACTAATCGTGAGAATAATCAATTACTAAAATTGATATCAATGATTACTTATTAGTTTTTCTTTTTATATTGGAAATGCTGCCAAACTGCTGTCATGACCTTTATTCTCAGTATTAACTTCAAGCTGTTTTTTATTTTTAAGAAGTATTGAGACACAATGGAGAAATTTTAAACTGCTGCTGTGCAGGTTACTCAGTAGGTTGTTGCTAGGCAACCAAAGAACGAATGAGTTGCTAGGTAACGAAAGAGTGAGTGAGTTAGTTGATTCCACCAACATTTCTTAGCTAGCCATAAGAGATGGAGCAGCTAAAGTCTTTCCTCTCCCTACATTTCCCAGAATGCTGTGCGGTTCTGGATTGAACATCCTTTCTGACTTATTTATTATTAATTTTGATCATGTGTTGCAATAGATATTATCGATTTACCTAAGATCTAAATCCAGCAGGAGGATTAAATCCACCATTTCTCTTTTACATTTCTGTTTCTACATTGAGGCCCATTTAGCGTCTAACATTCACAGCTTAACTCCATCTGGTCCTGTTTTTAGCTGGAATGTTTGTATTTTTAAAGGGAACACCACAGCTGTGTGTGTTCCTCTCTTGCTGCCGGTACAATCGCCCATTCTTCCCGCTCTGTCCACTAAAAGCTCTCCGAGTGAGCAACCTTTTCAGCCCTCCTTTCATCCGAGCACTCTGAGCAACTCGGTGGGAATCCATTTCCCGTCGCCTCGACTCTCTCCACACATCCACCTCCCCACCTGCCTCCGCCGCCTCCTGGATCCACGTGAGCCGCCGGCCCTCTCAGCCCTCTCTATCCGGGCTTAATCGTCCACGTGGGGCGGAGCGGATTACGTTCCTGACATCACCAGGCCAGATGTTTACAACCAAAATAGATGGCCTCACCTTCGACTCAGACAAAGCGTCTGCCCTCGACTTGATTCTGTGTTTATACTTCATCGCCTGCAGATTCAACCCAGAGTTTCCTCCAGCGGAGAGATCAATAACATGAGCATTAGCATGATTAAATTGCCCGTTGCCTGTCCATTTATTAAAAGCCTGGGTGTGCAGGGTGGGAGGTCCATTTAGTCGGCGAGTAGAGAAGAGTCAGGAGTCGGTTGCTTGAGAAGAAAGAAGGTTTGGGGGAGCAGGGGTTTCCCACCAGAGGTTTTAAACTGGAGCAGCTGGTAGCACCACTACAGGGTTCCCAAAAACCGAACCGTAGTAAAACATTATTTGGTAAAAAGTACTGATCAAGTTATCAATCATTTGATATTTAAAAATTACATTATCAGACAGAGCAACATATAAGGTTAAGTGGAAATTTTGGTATTTTAAGGACCAAAATGACAATAAGTCATATAAGAAACTAAATCAGGAGTGTGTCTGTCTGGTGAATTTTTGGTTTAATATGCGTTTGTTTTTCATTCAGTGGGTAGAAAATCCAAACATTTTACTCAAGCAAGAGTGGAAATACTTCATAAGAAAATTATTCTAGTAAAAGTAAAAAGTATAGCGTAGTTAAAAATACTCCTAAAAGTATTTTCTTCAGAAAACTTGCTAATTAAATGCAACTAGTCACTACCCAACTCTGGTCCTGGGTTTAAAACCCAGCCTGGGGTCTTTTTGCATATTTTGCACGCATGCGCTCTCCACCACTTCTTCCCACAGTCCAAAAACACAGCAAGCTGTGTTTCCATTGACCATATAATTACACAAATTGAAATTTCAAAGTTAAATTTGCTTAATGAAAACTCGCCAATTTCAAATGTGCAATTACACAACATTTTTGAAAAGCAGAAGTGAAGCCTCCCGCACAACCACCAAGCTGCAGCAAGTTGTTTCTGGATGGTAAGTGAATAACAAAAAACATCGGAATTTTTTCCAGCAGCCATTGTACCATAGAAAAACCGGCAGAGGAAACATGCCAGAGCTCAGTTTGGGTTGCTAGGTAACGGGCTTGGCTTCACCGGGGTTGCTAGGACCTGTAGATTGTGACTAAACAGTGGGGAGGTTTTTGAAATGGCTCATTTTCCAGACACCAAAAAAAACAAACAAAAAAAAAACTTTTTACCAACCTGTGTGGTGGTTGGATGTTTTTAGAAACAGTTGAGACCCAAATGGAAATATAAAAACGTGCAAAAATTCGCAACTTTTACCACAACCTTTTGAAAACAATCCTTCAAAGAAGAGGCTGGTTAAATCTGTGTTTCATTCAAAGAGACGTTGGAGGTGTTTCTGTTCGGACAAACAGGTCAGCTCTGAAGAATCACCTGAAGCAGCTGTTAATCGGAGTGCAGTCTGTGTTTTCCCAAAGGCGCAGACTTTCTCTTTGTTCTGCTCGCTCAGCAGTTTAACCGAGGAGGGGGGCAAGGATTAGCGGTAGGAGCGTGTCTCTCCAGCGCCTGCTGGTGAGCAGAGTCTCCTAATCTTTCATGCTGAGAGGAGGCAATTTGGGAGAAGTGACCTGTGCTCACTTCCCTTTCTCGCCCTCCTTTTCCTCTAATTTCCTCGCAGTTCAGCGCAAACAGGTCGCCGCATCCTTCCTTCGATTCCCCACTCCCACTTTCCGGTTTTCTGTTTTGCTGCTGGACTCATCAGCATGCAGCGCCATGTAGCTGCTGCTCAGGACCGGGCAGAGTTGTCAATAAAAGAACAGGCGCCGCAGCAAGGCCTCGCTGATGACTCTCTCCGCACTCCATCAGTTAATGAGCAAATAATTGTTGAGCGAGCAGAAAAGAAAATTGGGAAAGTAAGGCGGCAGGAGTGGCAGTGAGGTGAGAAACACAAAGGAGAGGCGACGTAAAGAAGGACAAATTGTTTCTGTGGACAAATATAAAACAGGAGAGTGTTGGAAATTTGAGAGGAGGAAGGGAGAGCTGTGGGGGAAACCGAGGTGCTCGGTGTGAGGTGACATTGAGATTCAAGGACAAAGTGGAAACATCCAGAAGGTGGAGGAGCCTCCCTGGAGCAGAGAGAACATTACATTTACTGAACGCAGGACGACATGATGGAGGCTGAAAGGTTCCTGATCTTTACGTCACAGGAGGGAACTGTGCTACCTCTGTTAAAGAGATAAAAATATTACATTTAGAGGGTTTTCTTGATACATCCTGCTGAGAAGAGACCCAGAAATCACTGAAGGGACAATAATGTCCTTCTGGACGGAGGACAGTTTGGCAATCTTGGGGAGAAAAGGAGTGATGATGACAAATGAGCCGACCGGCTCAGAGGGTTTCTGAAGTGGATGAATATATCCCTGATGAGTGATGGATGGATGGATGGATGGATGGATGGATGGATGGATGGATGGATGGATGGATGGATGGATGGATGGATGGATGGATGGACGGTTGGGTGGACGGATAGATGGACGGATGGATGGATGGATAGATGGATGGATGGATGGTTGGGTGGATAGATGGATGGATGGATGGTTGGGTGGACGGATGGATGGATAGATGGGTGGACGGTTGGGTGGATGGTTGGGTGGACGGTTGGATGGACGGTTGGATGGATAGATGGATGGGTGGATGGTTGGGTGGACGGTTGGATGGGACGTCTAGAGTTAGTTTCTGAAGTGACGCCATCGTCGTTTCTTGCTGCCGTTTTCTGCTGCTGAAACCTCAGCAGTCTTTGTGAAACTTTCCTAAACCACCCGAAGCATCGATGTCAGTAAATACTCAACCACAATGATTACCGTTTTCCAAAAAGAAAAGAAAAATCAACTCAACTAATATTATGAACTTATTTAAGTGTGACAGAAGAATCTCAGACTGGAAACTCAATGAAATTCTCATGGGCCAAATTTCCGCCATCTAATTCAATCAAACATTTGTTTTCCTCTGATTAAAGAATCCCAACTTCACTCTAATGAAATGTAATAATTTGTGTTTGTGTTAAATGATCTCAGTGTCATTTCTGGACTGGCTCTACCTCCTGCAGTCGAAGCGGCACAGTGACTCCTTCCAGTAAAAACGATTTCTCTGTCGCTCCAGCTGAGTTAGCTGCAGCATTCACTGCCTGCCACTCTCTGACAGCCACCCACATTGGTTTTAAACCAATACGCGCTTCGATCGAACAAGCTCCCGGCTTCATATCCCCGCCTCCCAAAGAGCAGCGGAGCGTGAAACACGACACGGAGTCCATCTTCACTGGGGGCAACATGACGGATGTAATGTAGGCTCCCTTATCCGTCATTAAGCCCGGCTCTGCCTTCCTCCTGCCTCTCAGCAGGGAGGACAGAAGGGCTTCAATCAGATTAGTGGAGAATATAACTCCACCAAGACACAGCCAGGCTGGAAGCCAATCAGTCACGTCTGCATGGAGAAGACGCAGGCATCCGTCTCAGAGACACTCTGACTTGGTTTATTCACCTGCTTGTGTAACCCACGTGACCGCCACGCCCCAACCACCTTCCCTTTAAGCCGTCCCTTTAACAGCTGGGACCCTCATGTGTATTTCCGGGTTTTCCACTGTGCTGCTGCTCACTGTTGGTTGTGGCGTCGGTTGTTAATAAAACAATCTCAAACCTCCAACTCGACTCATCGCTGAATAAATTCATCCCTAAAACTCGAGGAGCTGCGGTTGGGCTTTGTTGATGCCTGATTTACCTTCTGATGAGAACAAGTAACATCCACTTCCTCAGACAATCCGTTACTCGACGGTCAGGTTTTTTTTTCTCCCCCTTCGACGGAGGATGGCGAGCTACCCACACACCACCTGGTGGTAGGAAAAAGAGACACTTTCCACACAGGAAAACCAAACGACA